AAACACTCAACTTGAGCTTAGGACTTGCGCGTTGCTTGGTGCAGCTTGTACGCGCAGTAGAGACCGAGGCCGTTGAGCCCAAAGGCGACTGCAAACGTCCAGAAAAAGCACTGCCGACCGACGCAGACTTCGGCGCCCGAGACCGGGTCGACCACCGACGCTAGGCGGTACAGACGCGACGAGAGCGGACCAAGAAGCAGCGGAAAGCCAATCGCATTGGCGAGCGTGGTGGCGCCAAAATTCTCACCAAAGTACTTGGCGCCAAACAGCTCCCGCGTCAACACCGTGTAGGTGGGGAAGAGGAAGCCTTCAGCAATGCCACTGACGGCCACGGGCACAACAAACCCTTCGAGCGGCGTCAGTAGAAAGAGAACTTGGCCAAACATGGTCATGGCCAGACCCAACCCAAAGAACGAGGCGCGGGTCCAGGAGGCAAGATAGATGTCGGAGAGGTGCCCGACAACGAGCCGACCAGCGAGGTTGCACAGCGAGAAGAGCGAGACGTAGGGTGAGACAGCGTCCGGCGCGCCGCCCGCCGACTCGAGAAGGAACGCGAGATTGGCCATGACAAAGAGCCCGGACCCGACGCCAATGAGCACAGCGAAGAAGAGGTACCAGAACCGAACGTCTTTTGTGAGCGCCCAGCCCGTCATGGTCGAGAAATACCGGTAGAGCGCTGTTGGCGAGCACGACCGAAGTCAAGCCCGTGACGCACAGTCTCCTTGAGACGCGTATGCTGTTGGAACGGCTTTTGCGCCGCGTAGGCAAAGGCACCTCGGGCCATGACGCAGCCCAACGTGCAGTGGACTTTGCTGCGGAGCGCGTTGAGTACAGCGTTGAGAGCTCAGTATTATGTTGTCAGCTCTTGTTGTCGGCTCTTGCTAGGATGAGTGATACAGACATATTCTGCGTTAATTGACAAAATATCTGAAAAGCGTGGGATTTGACCCATGTGTTATGCATTTTAGAGCAATGCCAGCCGGACGATAGGCCCTGGAACGACATGTGGCGTTGGTAATCCTATTTGGTATATCTAAGTTCTGCTTGTAACACAACAACCATTTTGTATTGGTATACTGAACACGGGCTTATTTTTGTCGATTAACGAGGTTGTCAATTAACGCAGAGGATGTCTGTATGCCTTGACAATCCCGTATTATACAGTGTACAAAAGAATGCAGCTACAGTGTATCGGTATCTACAGTGTATTGGTGGGGAGGCGTCAAGCTTGTTTTTTGTATGCACGGGTCAAAGGTCAATAATCTGATTATTGACCCTTGGCACTTCAACTCAAAGCGACCGACTTGCTCTTTCGACCCATAATAAGGCCACGCTCGGCAAGTGCCACAAGGAACACAAGGAAGAAGCAAGATGAAAACGGCATATGCCGGAAATTCGTGCCTACCGGAAATTAGGTTGGAAGCCGGACAACCCTAGAAATAGGACCCTTAATCCGTAAAATTCGAAAGACTCATTTCAACAACTTGCTCTTTCGACCGACGATCGCGATGGCATTGGTACGACGTCAACGCTGCCCGTTGTGGTTGCAATGCGTTTTCTCTCTAGGACGCTCAGCTGTTTAATGCTGCGTACGACGGGCGCATCGACGACGTCCAGCGCCTGCTCAAGGAAGGCGCCGACGTCCACTGGGCCCACAAGGTGCACGCTCGATGGCAACAAGACATGACCTATTGCGTAGGACGGAGCGACGCCGCTGTTTGCTGCTGCTCAACAAGGCCACGACGCCGTCGTCAAGATGCTCGTCGGCGCCAACGCAGCTGTGGATCAAGCTATAAACGTACGTTCTCTCCTTTTGCCGGTTGCGCTCTTCCATTTTGGCTCAAATGTCGACGATGATGCAGGATGCAGTGACGCCGTTGTACATTGCTGCTCAACAAGGCCACGACGCTGTCGTCAAGACGCTCCTCGGCGCCAACGCCGCTGTGAACCAAGCCATGAGCGTACGTTCTCTCCTCTCGCATCTTGCGCTTTCAAACATGTGGCCTCAAATGTCGTTGATGATGCAGGATGGAGGAACACCGCTGTTCATTGCTGCATATAATGGGCACGACGTCATTGTCAAGATGCTCCTCGAAGCCAACGCCGCCGTGAATCAAGCCATGAACGTACTTGTGTATCACTACTACAAGGTACAAACTCGTACCGTGCGTAGGATGACGACAGTCCACTGTGTGCTGCGTCACGTCGTGGTCATCCCACAACGGTGCAAATCCTCCTGGACGCTGGGGCCGACGTCGACAAGTCCGTAAACGCAAGCTTTGTGGACGGCGATGTCCAGCTCTTGGTACCACAGTGTTCTTTGCTCTATGCGTCACTTAGCTTGGCCTAGGGCGGGTCGACCTCGCTCTTTGCGGCGGCTCTGATTGGACACGAAGAGGTTTGCCGCGTCCTGCTCCGTGCCAACGCAAATATCCACGCGTCGGACAGCGTACCATCTACTCGATCAGCTGAATCCTTTGCTCACATACCTCATGCGTAGAGTGGTCAAACGGCGCTGACGGCCGCAGTGCGCGGCGGCCACGAGTCGATCGTGCGACTCTTGCTCGATGCTGGCGCTAGCCTCGATGATCGGCACCAGGTCTCTTCCCTTCACCCTCTGCGACCGCTACTCATAGACCTCTAGAACTTGACGGCGCAGGCCATCGCGATCGAGAACAAGCATGTGACGGTTGCTACAGTGCTAAATGACGCAGAGAGACTCGTACTAGCCGTGACTGATGCTGATCTGGCCAATGTACAAGCGCTTTTGGACGCCGGTGCCAGTCCCAACCTTACAGACCAGGTATTATACTTACTCGGCCTTTTCATGCTTTCTTAACTATACCAATTGGATGCGTGTAGACCGGTGGTCGATTGCTGCACCTGGCTCTGCGTGGCGTTGAGGCCCAACTCTCCAATGCCACAAGACTCGTCCCGTACGAGCTCCAAAAGGCAGAGATCCTCGAAGGCCAGCTTCTCGACAAGTTGCTTCGTGCACCTGGCGTGGACCTCACCGCACGCAACACGGTACAGCTTCTCTGGCAAAAAATCACTTCTTAGTTTGCGTAGAGCAACGATACGCCGGTCGTCCTCGCCATCAAGCTCTGGCAGCGCCACATTCCACACAAAATCTACCACGCGATCC